TCGTCGTCCAAGAAAGTTAATGTGTCATCCTGTATATGCCTGAGTTCACGCTTTCCTTTGTTCCTCTTCTTATATGTTTGAACCTACCAATCCTCAGCCGTTGAACTTCCCATCTGGTCAAAGTCATTGTTGATCCAATGATTGTTGAATAGGTGCAAATTGTTGTCCATCATTGGCTTGACACTCCTCCAATAATGGAGTGGCCTTCTGATCAGCTACAATGTATTGATCCATAGATTGTTGATTTTGTGGAGGTTGTTGCCCATTTTGAGCTTGGCATTCCTCCGAGATTGGAGTGACCACAACATCAATATTTGGAAATTTCGAAGTAATAGAAGTACCATTTCCCTGCATAATTAGAGGACCTACTTCTCCAGCAACATGTGGAGGCTGAAGAGTTAAATGATTTCTCGTAGGGGCAATTCAACCTACAGCAACATCAACCGGTGGGCTAGATCGTACGGTTACCACAATATTATTGGGGTCAGAAATATCCTAGTGATGATCAAGAGTGTCACTAATATTGAGAAGGGAAGGGTTCTTAACAGCACTCTGGAGGAGCACTGTGCTTTTATGGTTTTAGATGGGGGTGTAAGCGGTAACACTGAGAATTTGAATGGTCGAACATACGACAGTTAGAGCAATACATAGAAAAAAAACTCAATAACAAACCTTTGCCAATATCCTTAATGTTGTGAGCCTAGCCAAATTTCCTCAGGAGCATTTAAAGCGATGTCCCTTTCAACAAGTACTCCGGCTTCTGAAAGAAAGATAATGTTGTGAGCCTAGCCAAATTTCCTCAGGAGCATTTAAAGCGATGTCCCTTTCAACAAGCACTCCGGCTTCTGAAAGAAAGAAAAGATTAAAAGTGGGAATGTCTGTTTTGAGTGACTTACCATAGACTGTGACAATAGAATACAACACTTCTTGATTAAAATGATAGAATTTCAAACCAGGGAGGCAAATCCAGATCGGATGGCTGGTGATTTCGTATGTGGGTGAAAATCCACAAGTCCATTTCAAAATTTTGATCGATCTGTTATCAATCCAAACTAGTCTTCTAGCAAATAAGCTTGTGTAAACCTCTTCATTGATAAGTTGAATAAGGATGAGCTGCCCATTTAAAAGTTCAATTTTCCACTCCCCAACCAGATGCAAAGGATCAAATTCCTTATGAATAAGCTCCACTTTGGGATGGTCATAAAGAAATTTCTCGGCCAAATTCAGAATACAAGATGAAGCAAGCATATTACATTCAGCGTCAGTATAAAAGATGGTTGGTTTCTCATTCTTCCTTCTAGCTTTCTTAATGAAACAGAAGTCGCCACCCTCCGATAGAGCAAATTAAGCCGGGAACATACACGATTTAGGAGTACCTGAGGCATGGGCACCCGACAACAGCATAAGTTCGGTCCAAAGCCATCACTAGTAGAAGCAGAAGACGAGGCGTTGTCTGTCAACGTCTTCGCGTAGATGCGAGAGGGAGGCGACGAATCTGCTTCGACACATTGATTGTCTCAGAGGGAAGAATCCATATTGACAGTCTGTTCTTCTTAAGAGACAGAAGCCTCATTCAAATCGAACCGAGAGCGGAGAGGAATGTGAGTTAGAGTTTCCAAACCGAAGGAAAGAACATGAGTCAGAGGCAAAGTGAGAAGAAAGGAGGAAGTTTCGTAACTTACATACAAAACCCTAGTCGAAGCCTTTTGCTTCAAGTGGTTGTTGCTTCTCATTCTAGAGATTCGATGCCATACGAGAAGTCAAACATCGAGGGTGCCCTATGCGTAGGAGTCGTGTGTTAAAGAGACGCAACGACGAGCGTGTCGGAGAAATTCAGTGTAACTTACGGAAGTAAGGAACAACTGACTTCGTGCAGGGAAGATAGTATTGAGTGAAGCAGAAACCTTGTGTCCTAACCAATCAAAGGAAGAGGTGTCGAACAGCTTTGGTGCGAAGGAGAAGGAACTCTCATTCGTACAGTGGGAGCTGGATCTTGCATGCAGAGGAAGAGGAGCTCTCTTACGTGTTGTAGGAACCAGTTTTTTCGTACAGAGGAGGAACTCTCATGCATATGCTTAGAGGCTAACAGCCTAATACTAAGGTTAAGTTTTAATATTTTCATTAAGTAATTATATAAAATTCAGTTTATTATTTAAATGTTAAATTTAAGAGCATTTGAAATCAAGAACGAAGCTGTTAAATTCCGACTGTGGAAAAAGAAGGAGGGGACTTTGAATGCGATAGCAAATAGAGAAGGGTGAACCAAGCAGAAACTTTAAGTTTTCATCCAGCTGATTTATGCATGAAGCAATCAAACCATGCGACTGATTTGTGCAGGAAAAAATTGAACAGAACCGAGCTGTGTTTGAAAGGCATGACAAATTCTTACAGTGAGATAACGTCGGGTTTTATCATGTTAATTAAGGTATTTAAAAAAATATGTTATTTATTAAATGTTAATGTTAGGTTTAATTATATCAAGATTTATAAGCAACAAAACTTTCAAAATAGAGGGAGGAGAAGAAAGTTTCGAAATTGCGGGTAAATGTATACATGAAAATTTCATTTTAGCCAATTAAATTATAAGTTGCTAAGAACTAAAATAAGTTTTAATTGCCAACAATAAAAGACAGAATAATATTCAATTTTGATAGTGGATCACCTTGAAGGATAAATGTAATGCATAAATTAATTGAAATTTAAGTTTAATTTATTCAATTTAGATTTAATGTTATTAAATATTAATTTATAACAACATTTAAGATCTGAAGATAAGAAGTCAGTGTGATGAGCACACAAGATTAAGGTGAGTATTTATATTTCTAAATTTCAATAATTTTCATTATTTCTAAATGTATGTTTGATTTTATTTATGTTTCATTTCAATGATATTTAGATTATAGCAATTTCTTCATATTGTTAGATAGGAATATAAGCATGTTAAATAGTTGCACAATGGAATTAAATCAAAAGTGATTACTCATGTCATTAGTTATGAAGTAAGCACGCTAAATATTGTTGTCCTAATATTTGCATAATAGTTTAGTTCAAGAAGATATCAGATTAGAGTATGACCCCTTATATTCAAGTAGAGATGGATATGTTAACTTATTACATGACCATACATATATGTCACATGACTACTTAACCTTTAGGATTGTAGTAAATGTGCATATATCAATTTATTTCATGACAAATAAATTTAAAAGGAGTGCAATTATTCATTAGTAGAAACATATAAGATGTCTCAAAAGACAAGAATGTATATTATGAAGAATGAAGTAATTTATATATGTATGCTTGTATGTATACTTCTATTGGTACAGAAAAGGGGAAGCCAGTGTAACCACGAACGTAAATGTTATCCTACCACCCAATATATGTATGCTTGTATGTATACTTCTATTGGTACAAAAAAGGGGAAGCCAGTGTGACAATTGTGATATTTAAATCGATAATCATTGTGCGAACGGAAGAATATCGGTCAAGAGAGAGTAGGCACATTTCCACCTGAGAAAATCGTGTCAATTAGATCACGAGTTGCTGTGTCGATGAGACAATATTAGTCAAGGTGTGTTAGGTTATGTTTTAATGGTGTTCCTAAGATAAATGTGAATTTTAAATGCACAAAATAAAAGTAAGGTTAAAGATTAAGCTTTGAAGAGCACAGTAAAATTTAAAGAATATCAAAATTTAAGTTATTCCATTAAATAAATGTCATGAACACATAAATTTGATTATTATAAGATCTTTTATAATGAAATATAAAAGACCAGCATGCATGTTGTTTAATTTACTTGGGTTACTGTAGTTTAAAAGTGTGATTGCTCTTGGGTTATCCTAAAATAACTCATTATATTGTTTTCATATTTTTTTCTTGTTTTAAGCATTTGAATAAGATGAAAAGAATAGGAACTAATGTGTCCAGTAAGCAAGAACAACAACTGGAAAGAAAAAACAATTACTTGTAAATTAAACTACATTCTTTTGTGACTCTTTCATGAATATTTGAATATTAAACTCTTAGTTATAGAAATTGAATATCGGAGAATTTACTTTTATTGCAAGGCAATTCATTCTCATCTTGGTTAATTCAAAACTTTAGGTCTGGTCGTGACATTGACCAACAATTTACCACCACCACGACCATTAATGAGATTGTTAACCATCGCATAAATCTATTTATGCAATATAAAAAAACAAAAATAGCCTATTTGAAAGATATAAAACATATTTTTATTTTATCTCAATATACAAAAAAATAAAATTAAAAATAGTTAAATAAAACAAAAAAGTGGTCCCAAATAGCCTCTTATTAAATATGTGAAAACATGGTACACTACCAATCCATTACTACTAATCCATTGCCAGAAAATTTTTGGATAGGACAGACCATCTTAGAATTTATGTTAGCGGTGATTGGAAGAAATATATTTTGAAACGAAAGCATTGTCATTTGAGACAAGCATAATTCATATTTTAATGTTTTGTCACACATTATAAATTATAAGGTTGTAGTCATTCATATGAAGTGCCTTATCTGCTTATTTCTACTTTTGGAATGTGTGGATGGGCATAGCTCACCAAATAAACGTGAATATGCTAACAAAAAAGTTCATATGACAGAAATTCCCACAAAAATATTTACATTGAGTCATAAGGATGTTTCCGTAAGTACTGTTAGATGCATTCAAAGCAATCTAAATATAAAAATTTCAAAAATGTTTCAAAAATTCTGAAGAATGACTATTTTCTATAAAACTTCTAGCGATTAGAGAAGCCTACTTAGAAAAACTGTAAGCTTCAGTACCCTGCTAATGATTCCAAAGGTCAATTCAACAGCACTAGGGATCAAGCATCCTATATGCTTCTCCCTAAAACTTTAATTACATCAAGTTATTCAGTATGTACAGCAATCTAATAAGAAACATAAATGGTTATGAGCCAATGGAACAAGTAATATAGCAGAACCCATTTAGAAAAAAGAAACAATACATTACCTTGAAAATACAAGCCTGGGGCTTTACATCATTAGGATCACCATACTTGTCCACGACATTGAATGTAATCATTATAGGAACTTTTGCTGCTGACTGAAGAGGAATTCCACTATCCAACAGAATGCCCCGTACAAGTTTATTTGTAGCAGTTGGCAGATAAAGGTCGTCTCCTTCAACACTAATTTTCTCAAGCTCTCTGCAAAAAGAGGAAATCAACATATACCAAAAATATCTTCTAAATGTGCATTACAATAATGAATACCTTCTAATACCAGCACGACGTTCTTCCTTTGGTAGATGATATAAGACACCAGAAATAGAGGTGACCTTATCAAAGAAATCAAATTCTCTTTGAAACAAATCACGGGCTTCAGGAGAAAAGCCATCGATAATCTTTTGTCGCAGAACAGGAAGCATTGCTTGGAATGAATTACCCTGAAAATATGATTTAAATAAAAAAGCAATCAGTTTATCTGACTAGTGTGATTGCTTTTATATTTGCAGATATTTACAATGTAGCAATATGCTTTACTCTTCAAGCTTTCAAATATTGTCATCTTGTAATTTAAATTGGAAGCATTCTCAAATGTCAAGAAGCAGGTACCATTTTAGTATCACGTCAATCTTCTTATTCAAGCTCTAATTGTAAAGAACTAAATATACAGAAATCCAAAACATTGTTCACAACTTCAGTAAATTTTTAGTAAACAAAATTTCCAGAAAGAGATTATATAGTTATTGGCCTGTTTCACAAAAAAACATTTCAAGGCTTCTTGTAATTGGCACTATGTGGGACAAGTGGCAGTGTTACTAAAATTTGCAGTCACCAATTTCTCACCTTCTCTGCAGTCATAAAACTTGCAGCCCTCATATTGCAACTTGCAGGCTTATGTTAAGGGACTTGAAGCCATCCTCATTGTCACGGTTCAAATTCAATGACAAATATGAAAAAATATTAACGCACGTAGAGTAACGTGCATAGCCAATGAAATCATGCCACGACACCTCACGCGACAGAAAAAAAAAAAGGCGCGACAACACGGGGAATATTTCTCCCATGTTATTCATGTGTTATTGTGTGTTATTCATGTGTTATTGTGTCCTGAGAATATTCCTGGTGTTATAATAACACTCTCAGGACACAATAACACATGAATAACACACAATAACACATGAATAACACAGGGGGAATACTCCCCGTGTTACCGCGCCATTTTTTTCTCTGTCGGGAATATTTTCCCGTGTTATTCTGGTGTTATTGTGTGTTATTCATGTCTTATTGTGTCCTGAAAATATTCTTGGTGTTATAATAACACAATAACACGTCAGCAACACATGAATAACACACAATAACACATGAATAACACGAGGAGAATATTCTCTGTGTTACCACGTTGTATTTTTTTCTGTCGCGTGGGGTGTCGTGAAGTGATTTTATTGGCTACGCATGTTACTCTATGTGCGTAGTACTGATGTAATATTTTTCCATTATCACAATGGCAGATCATGGCTTTCATGAGATTTCAAATTGCAACTTTCGGACTTTCATGATATCATGATTTTTGGTAAGTGTCATATGAGATTTTAGTTGGTGATTTCTCGATAATTAAAGATATCAGGGATTTCATTTTAATTATAAGTAGGAAGTTTCAGTCAAATCACAATAAAATTGGCTGTTAATGAAGTTCTAGTTGGACGATTGAATCCTTTCAAGAGTCAATTCCTCTGTCCAACTAGAGACTTGTGCTTATGGATAATCTGCTTGGTGAGGAGATATAACGGATTGTTTTAATATAAATAGGTTTTGGATATGTAACAAAGTAATGAATTGAATGTGAATATTCCGAAAGAGTGTGTTATTCCTTCTTCAAGGAGTCAACATCTTGATCAAATATAAAACTTGACAATTTTCAGGAGAAGCTATTTACTTGTACAAGTTATTCCCAATTATTTTGAATAAGGCAACTTTTGGACATTTGTTATATTTCAATCATCTAAATTTTATTATTGGAATAGATCATCAATTGTGTAGCTGAATTTATTGAAGTCTAATACAATTTGAGTTATGAATTCTTTAATTCAAATCTTTCAATGGTTTCCTTGGATGTAAAATAATAAGCATTGCTTCTAATAGAAACTACTAAAATTACCTTTGTTCTTCTATTTTCATAAAAGGAATTAAAAAGTAACTAAAATTAAAATTTTATGAGCCTAAAGTTAGAAAAGGAGAATCTCACCATTGGAACCACCCCATCCTTTCCAGATTCTGAAACACAAGACTCACCCTGCCATCCAGATTTTAGCGTCAATACCAAATGCACAAGCAATAGCAAGGATAATTGTATGGATGAAATGCTAAACAGAATATGGCTTTATAAACCAATCCAGAAGCAAGTTTCCAAAATGATGAAAATTAAAAAAAAAAAATGAAAAACATCATAAGTAGTATTTTCTTCCAAAATTACGAACTCATTCTTCACCTGAAGATGCCAAATCAGGATGTGGGCAAACACATTACTTCGCCGAGCAGCTCCAAGAAGGTACCCTTCAACTAATTTCTGAGGAAATGCAATATCTTTAACAACTTTGGTAATATATTTAAAAGGTAAAAGAAAGTTACCTAAACTTTGAAAATGTTATGGGTAGATTAAATTTCTAACAAAAGAAGCCAACAAGCACCAACATGCAAAAAATTAAGTCTGTAAATTATAGGTACTCACGCCTTCATCATATCGGAGAGCTTGTACTAGTTGTGGCATAAAGAAGGTTACTCGTTCTGGAGGATAAGACTCCAAAACTCTAAGAACATAAGCCATGACACGTGGGTGACCCTTGAATGGAAGAGTAAAAAATTCCAAAGCTTGTGTGATTGAACAGGCAGCCCAGTGTGGCAGCTGCTGCAACAATATTGAATTCTCCTCAACTGACTTTGGAGTCACAAAAAAGGGCAAAGCTTCAGGAATTGTCCGTAGGTTTATTATGTTCGCCTGAAATACCATTGTTATATTAAGATGAAAAGGTCCCAAAGCAAATATAATTTTTCTAAGTTATATTTACTAAGTGAGAAATGTCATTAAAGCAAAATTAAAGATAAGAATTTCCAAAGCATGCGTTCAAAAGAAAAATAGCGATACCAGATGAACAATATTCAGACTGGCGGAATGAAGACCTGCTATCTAACAAGTAATCAATTGTTAATCAACAGCCAACCATTTTTCAAGCAAAAAAAAATAAATAATCAAAAAATAATATTTTAAATGATTGGGATTAAACTTAGCCATGAAACCGTCATCATTTCAAAATGAATAACCAAGAGAGTGTAAGGAAGTCCATGGACTATTGCATTAAAGAACTACTGCCTCAATAAATATGCCAAAAACTACTACATGACATAATAGCAGCTACAATAATGTGTTTGATGAGAAACAAAAGAAGCAGTTGTACTGTTGACCTCATTTTTGGGTGAGATCATTACTTCTCTCTCTCCTTAGAGTCTAATCTCCTTAGAGTCTAAGGTCTAGCCTTAGGTTTTCTTTGTTTGACTCTCTTAGAGGACTAGTACTGGACCCACACCATTTAGAAAATCCGAGCCACCCCGTCAAGTCTCGCATGGGCGGTTTTGAATCCTCGGCATTTCGCTGAATTGATTGGAACCGCACATGAAACTAAAATCGAGTTCCTATATTAATAGGAGCAGCCCCTAGGTAAACCATTTGTGACTCGAGCACCCGCAAACGCCGCATTTTGCGTACGCATCGCACCGTGCACGATTTTGACCTGACTTGTGACTCGAGCACCCGCAAACGCCGCATTTTGCGCACGCATCGCACCGCGCACATTTTTGACCTGACTTGACTCGCCCGTCGGCGAACTCGTCCGTACTACCTCGGATGACGAAACGGACCATACGGATGCGTCCGAGACAGTTGATGTTAGCTAGGAATGACACTTATATTGTTAAGGTTTTGCACGCGAGCGATAAGCACGAATTTCAATGCATATTTTTTTAATTAACGGTGTGCGGGCCCGGGCTCAACCCAGGTTCGACTCGGGTTCAATTTGGGTTCGATTCAAACTGGAATCGGGCTGAGCACGGGCTAGGCACCAACTCACCTGAATTTGAAATTCAAATTTCAAAATTCAAAAAAGTTGTTTAAATTTGTCTTAGTTAAAGATATTACGGTGTTATTTTTGTTCCAATTAAACCTGCTGCATGAATGGAAGGTATTGATTTCCCCGCCCAATCTTTTGTAATGGACACATTGCAAAATTTTGAAATAGCATTCGGCTCTCTCGCTGGTCACTGGTATTGGGCACAAAAGCTTTCCCTCGCCTCTTCCTCCAGCTCAAAGCCCTACTCTTCCTGCTTGAAGCACGCCCTCGCTCGAGCCCACCTCCCTCTTCGCCACTGTCGACCGTTATTTTAATTTTATGTTTTGGAAAAGAGATAAATTTTTTGGAAAAGAGATAATTTTTTTTAAACATGAAGATAGTTTTAAATATATATATATGTGATTTTTATTTTTGTGAAAGAAATATTTTTAATTTTTGAAAAGAGATGAGACCAAATGAATCTTAAATATTAAATAGTTTGGATAACTGAACACAATACCACAAGTAATACACTTATCTCGAATAGTAGGCTCAATCACCTGAACTAAAGAATTTGTGACATCTGTTTAGTCTGTGAAATATTTTATATGAAGCCAGCAAGTTTCCCTATCTAATATAAGGATTAGATAGGGTTTATTTTACATGGGTTCCAAGTTCCCTATAGAGGCAAGCCCATATAGTTAATTGCATCTCGAATGACCATGATCATTTAAGAAAACTCTCGATTAAGATCAGTGGTTCTGCCTTTGAGAATTCAAAGTTTAGGTTTTCACGATTGGACATGGGAAAATCAAATAGGAGTGGCTCAAACAGGAACAGTTATTTTAAGAAATTCAAAGAAATGAAAAGTAGGGGATATCACAGATCCGATGAAAACCCCGGTGACCTCCCGACTATCCTATTGTTTGGTTTTATATCTTTGAAATAATGTTGTTTAATGTTTAATCCTGCAATTTATTTAAAATTTAGGACTTATATTTGCACGATATATGTCGTGCAAACACCTAAAAAAAAGATATGAGGATTTACACAAATCCTGCAATTTATTTAAAATTTAGGACTTATGTTTGCACGATATATGATCATGCAAACACCTAAAAAAAAGATAGGAGGATTTATACAGTATCGTACAGCAACCTCAGAATCCTAAAGTGTTAGGACTTATAATTGCACAACAGGGTTATGCAAAAGCCTAAAAGTGATATGTGAGGGTTTACGCTGCGCTAGGCAAACCACCTCGAAATCCTATGGGTCGTTATTTAAACTAAAAAAGTGCTTAATGATATGAATTTGTTTTGGCGTTGTTCTTCTGAATGTCCCCGTCGTGCTGTCTACGGTATTCGCTCCAAGCTCCTCGTCGTAGCACCTCCGGATTCGATGTTAATTTTAAGGATATATGCAATTGTTTAGTCGATGCTCTGTTGTTACTGTTGTTGGGTACCTCCTATAAAACCAACTACCGGCCTCTTATTCTAACGTATAGTGTATAATAGAACAATAAAGCATGCAGTATAAAAGAAAAGAACAGTAGAATGTACAGTAAAGAAGAAAAAAATAATACAGTATGTTGTGAAGTCAAATGTTGTAATGTAAATCAAACATGTATATCTGGTAGACTTGTTGCTCCTTTAAACTCCTTTAAGCGAGCTAGTATACACTATATAAACAAAAGAAACATTAAAAATTAGAAAAAATCGACAAATGACCCACGACAAATGACCCACGACGGAAAACTCGAGAAAAATAACAAATGACAATTTCAAGAAATTATCAAAATCTTGGGAAGATTTCGGAAAAGGGACCACGAGTGCTTTGCCCAAAAATTACAATAAAACATACGAAAAATCCGAAAAAAGGGGACCGCAAGCACTCAGATCGGGGCTAGGCTCAAATATAATATAATTGTATTCGAGGGACGTCGAAGGCTACTATTGATCACCCGGATGTATAGAGTCTGTCACTCAACTAGAAGAGAGTCCTACTAAACCTAAATTAGGATGGTATTCCTTAGCCCGGTATCGATAATCAACAAGTGGACAACCAAGTTGTAACACATTTAAAATTTATTTTTTAGCATGCACATAGATTTCAGACAAACAAAAAAGTTGTATCAATTTGAAGTGAAAATATTTTTATAAATATTGTATTTGTTCTTATCATATCTGTTATTATCAATTTTGAAAAAGTATAGTTGTCCATGAGTCGATCACGTCATCGGACATAAGACTGTCAACAACTTAAGAAGGTACGGGTCTCCGCTAGTCTTGTGTCGGTGAATGATATTATCATTCTACAGTTTATCAGATCCCAGGATTGGGTCCTGATGTCGTAGGATGGAATATCATTCTACTCTACCACCAGCGTGTCTTTGTCATCATCGCCCTAAACCCCAAAACAAAACTGACCTACTTGCGACCTTGCTTGATGGTTTTATATATAGCATAAGACTATAAATGGGCACTTATGTGTCAGGCGTAAGCAATGAAAACCGAACCAAAAAGCAAGGAAAAAAAGAATAAAAATAGGGATGAGAGAGGAGCTGATCCACCCAAAATTTCGAAAAGACGAAAGGTCAAGCAACTCTCAAAAACTGTGATGAAAAAATCTGAAAAGGAGAGCCCAAGATCCTTGAATCAATCCAGATGATATCATTTTCTCAAATTTTATAATTGGAACAACGCAAGAAGGGTATCATTTCCAAATTTTGTTTCGAACAGATCGAAACGGGCCCAAAACTAATGTGACAATTGTATCCACGACTCCACCACCTATATGTACTCACACACCCAAGCCTGAACCCATATGTGGCATTTATGTTATCCAAGTTTTAATGTCGAACCTCCAAACTCTTTTCCAACTAACAATTTTATGAGTTTTCTAATCCTTTCCCGAATCAATTTATATCATCTTTATGATTTCCCGAAATGAAGCTATAAGAGTCTTTCATATTTCACAAAGTAAAGGAGAATAATCCATAGAGGGCAACTTTCTAAATTTCACAAAGTAAAGTAGAATAATCCATAGAGGGCAACTTTCTAAATTTCACAAAGTAAAGTAGAATAATCCATAGAGGGCAACTTTCTAAATCTCCAAAAACCATGCCAATATCAAATCCATTCAATTCCACCCCTTCTTAAAAGCTTTTCACAATTGTATACATGTAACACTAATTTAGAAAATATAGAAGTGCTCACGGTCAGGGCAAAATGAGTCTGAATAATCCTCAACAGGCTCACGAGTAAGGCAGGAAAGAAGATAGGAACTCACGGGTAAGGCTAAGAAAAGGGACAGCCAAACCTCAAAACAAGCCCACAGGTAGAAACCAGGAAATGCATAACCAAGCTCCAATATAAGCCCACGATTTAGGGGAAGAAAGTAAAGCCTGACCCAGCCATATTCAACATAAAAGAGCCTCAAGAGAAAGTTCACAACTAAGGGAAATAAGGAGAAAGCTAAGTCCAAACCAACCACGACACAAACCACAACAGTAAGGCTCACGTCTAGGGGCAGCAAGGAGAAAACCAAGCCCCAAACTAACCACAGCACAAACCAAGGAGCCACAACAGTAAGGCTCACGGCCAGGGGCAGCAGAGAATATCCAAACAGGACAAAAGGAAACCAGCTAAACAAAAATGCTCACGTGTAAAGGCAGCAGACCAAAACCACTAAACCGGTTTCACAGCAAAGGGAAAGCCACGACAAATATTACCATTGTACTCATTTGATCTACAGAAGAGAGTGAATGGACAAACTCACAAGAACTATCTAGATTAAAGTCATTTTATTGAGCAAGACATGCTAGTGAATTGATCAATTTATATCAAACATTCTCATATAGAAGTAGATAAACAAATCATGAATTTTGGGATGACAAACTTGATTACGATGTTGAAATCATGAATTTTGGGATGTGAATTTTGGGATGACAAACTTGATTACTAATAAAAATCTCAGGAGGAACGTTATATGAAAAACTTCCGACCAAATCGAGCCCAACAAAGGGCTAAATCGAGCCCACCAAAGGGGCTAAAACAAAAAGAAATTCCAGCTAAAACACAATCTCAAAAAGAAGCCAAACCGAGCCCACCAAAAGGGCAAACCGGAAAAACTTCAGACCAAACCGAGCCCAACAAAGGGCTAAATCGAGCCCACCAAAGGGGCTAAAACAAAAAGAAATTCCAGCTAAAATACAATCCCAAAAAGAAGCCAAACCGAGCCCACCAAAAAAGCAAACCGGATCCAATACAGGGGACAAACCGAGCCCAGCACAGGGGCAAATCATAATACAATTTCAGCTCAACTATACCTAACAAAAGAGAGCCAATAACAGATAAACTTTTGAGCCAAACCAATTCCTTCTCTCAAACCAAATTAAATCCAACATAAAGGCTCAAGAAAAGAATATAATTTAAGCCAAAACTGCACCCATCAAATGGGAAAACAGATCAACATTTCTAACATGAATTCAACCCAAAAGAGCCAAAAGCGAACCCATCCATATGGGGAAATCAGAGAAACATTTTCAGCTATAAGTCCAACCTAAAAGAGCAAAAAAAATCGAGCCAACCAAATGGGCCAAAACAGAGCCACCAAGAATCAGATTCCACAAAACTTAAAAACCCAAAATTTACATCCAGCATATACTTTGAACAGAAACAAGAAATGAATAAGCATAAGCGAAAAATTCCAGCATATATTTGAAAATGGGTGATAATAATAAAAAGCTTAAGAATCAAGTCTTGAACCAACATTTCATTTAGCATGTATCTTAAATAGGCAACTATCATCTCATGGCAACAACCGTAATGTTCCAAAATTTCATCTATCATGCATTTTTTAGCAGAAAAAGAGAAAAATATCCATATTATGCTTCATTTTTACTGATTCTAGCAAATATTCATGACTAGATCTTAAAGCAAGCATAAACCTTATCTTCACATGATTTAGAAGAGAAAATAAATACTTTTAGATGTCATCCAAAATGGTGCAGATTAGAGGAAAGAAGAGAAATACCTCTTAATGCAGACTCAAAGCAAAACTGTAAGACAGATTCAAGAAAACACCTCCTACAGAAAACCTCCACCTAAAAGCTTCGAGAAACAACAACCAACCAACACTTTAGCACACAAGAACCTAGCCAAGGAGAAATTTTGGCAGAGCCTTGCCCTAAAAGCCTTAAACAGCAATTAGCAAAACAATCTCAGCCTTCCTTTCCCTCTCAAAATTTTGAACAACCCAAAACAGTACTTTAGGAAGCTTTTTTATAGGCAGAGATGAAGGGGGGAATCGCAACCTACCACCGTTTTGTGGTCGAATAAAACAATGGGAGTGAATCATCACCATAAAGGAGGAGAAAGTAAAGCCTCGAGAAGGAGAAGGGTCGGCCAGCTGAGCTCCCACAATTGGAGAGTTAAGCGGTCGAGCGACCACGCGAGGAAGGAGAAGAGTCGAGAGAGAAAGAGATCGCCGCATGGATGAGCCACGGGATCTAGGGCACACAGGGACGAGTCGGACGGCTGATCGAGCTGCGGGATGGGCCAAATGGAGAGGTTAAGTGTGCGTAAAAGGGGTAAATAGGGTTTAGGGTTATAATTAATATTATAATCAGTAATATGAATATATAAAATATTTAATATTTCTTAAAAATAAAATTTGATTCATACATTTTTATTTATGCGTCAAAACATAACAAAATGGATGTTCTTTTCAGGTAACTTTGACGTTCTGGACACGTTGGTGTGGTATGTTTCATCATCGGAGATCATTTTAATGAATTCATCAATTTGCGTGCAATTTTCTCGTGTTCAAAAATTATGGTAATATGAGTGTTTTTCCTACCTAAAATTGGTGCCTCGGACGCATTGGCGCTCTCCATTTTGTCGTCGGAGATCGTCCGGAGGAGTTCGCATTTTCACTCATTCTTTAGGCTCAATTTTAGTCTGATCTTGTGTAACTTAGTGAATTTTGTGCATTTTGTGCATTTTGTGTGTGCGTGATGATGAAGTCCTGAAGAGATTTTCCTAGAGCTTGAGATCCTATTGTGAACTTCTCCTTGAGTCTCCACATGATAGTTCTTAACCACTCGACCATATGACGATGGTTTTGAGATCATCAATGTGAGACATCACAAGAGAAATAGAAAGTGGCTAGAATTTCTAAGGGAATGGATTCTAATACTAGTTTTCTAAGAAAGTCAATAGGAACCCCTAGAGCTAGATCTTAAGATCCTAAGGAAAAGAATAAAGACCTCAAAATGAGGTCAACAGTCACACAGGAGAAGCTTTGCTCGACGGGCCCCCGCTAGCTTCCGCTCAGATCTCACACTCGACCGAAGTTTTCACCTGCTCGTCTTGGGAATTTCCCCACTAAAGCAAAACGCCAAAAGGACGTTGGATTATCAATTTCAACCTCAGTGAGAATAAGTGCAGGATTCCAGGCAGTGATTAATGGCGGCACGCTCTGCTAGGGTTTTGCCACATGGCGATTCCCGGCGGTGATTCTTTCAGCTTCTTCGCTTCCTTCGCTTTTCTTCGGCGTCGCCCAAGATGCCGTTCACTCCCTGTCTCTCCTGTTGAAGTCGATCGCTCCCATTCGTCTCCATAGTCAACGGAACGCTCCTGCCATCATCGTCTGTTTCCTTAGACCAAGGCGCTACAGTCGGCTCGCTCCAGACAACCCGAGCCCGACAGTGCCAACAGTTTCCTCGCTTCCTTGCGGCCCGTCAAACCATTTCTTTCCTGCTCTTGTGAGGGAGAATGTCTCGACGCTTCATTCCTATGCAAATGTTTTTGCCAGCGACTTGCCTATTCCTGCTCGTGCCCCTCCTCCAGGTTAAAAGTCTGCTTTTGCTATCGGTAAGTCCTGCAATTTTTCGCAATCGTACGAGGCTCTTGAAAGTGGCGGCGAACACACTTTTATTAAAAAGCTTGGATATATATATATATATTTATTTATTTATTTATTTATTTA